TATATAACGTAGAATTATAATAAGAAACAGCTGTTCATAACTTGTGAAAAACAATCTATGTCATTGCCACGCCCATATGCTCATTTTTTCCCCTCCCATCCTGCTATGAAAACGGGGTATTAATATAACTGACGAATGAATACAAGTTGAATTGGTTATTGAACACGTCTCTGCTATTCATTTCCAATTTCCAGAGCTCTGAATGAGTTGGCAAATATCCATCATCCACAAAGGGCACGGGCTGATTTTATTCCCAACACACATGGATTTCAAGATCAGAGACAACATGGGTTTACTTCAGGGAGATCATGCCAAACTAATCTTATTGATTTTTTTGATTGGGTAACTAAAATTATAGATCAGGGTGGTGCAGTAGATATTGCTTACCTAGATTTCAGTAAGGCTTTTGACACTGTTGCACATAGAAGGCTTATCAATAAACTGCAATCTTTAAGTTTGGATTCCAATATTGTTGAATGGGTAAGGCAGTGGCTGAGTGACAGGCAACAGAAGGTTGTAGTCAATGGAGTATATTCGAATATTGGGCTTATCACCAGTGGGGTACCTCAGGGATCTGTACTTGAACCCATTATCTTTAATATTTTTATGAGTGATATTGCAGAAGGTCTTGATGGTAAGGTATGTCTTTTTGCTGATGATACTAAGATATGTAACAGGGTTGATGTTCCAGGAGGGATACGCCAAATGGCAAATGATTTAGGTAAACTAGAAAAATTCTCATAGTTGTGGCAACTGACATTTAATGTTGATAAGTGCAAGATAATGCATCTTGGATGTAAAAACCCAAGGGCAGAGTACACAATATTTGATAGAGTCCTAACCTCAACATCTGAGGAAAGGGATTTAGGTGTGATTATTTCTGATGAGGTAAAGGTAGGCAGACAATGTAATAGAGCAGCAGGAAATAGCAGAATGCTTGGTTGTATAGGGAGAGGTATTAGCAGTAGAAAGAGGGAAGTGCTCATGCCATTGTACAGAACACTGGCGAGACCTCACTTGGAGTATTGTACACAGTACTGGAGACCGTATCTTCAGAAGGATATTGATACATTAGAGAGAGTTCAGAGAAGGGCTACTAAACTGGCTCATGGATTGCAGGATATAACTTACCAGGAAAGGTTAAAGGATCTTAACATATATAGCTTGGAGGAAAGACGAGACAGGGGGGATATGATAGAAACATTTAAATACATAAAGGGAATCAACACAGTAAAGGAGGAGACTATATTTAAAAGAAGAAAAACTACCACAACAAGAGGACATAGTCTTAAATTAGAGGGACAAAGGTTTAAAAATAATATCAGGAAGTATTACTTTACTGAGAGGGTAGTGGATGCATGGAATAGACTTCCAGCTGAAGTGGTAGAGATTAACACAGTAAAGGAGTTTAAGCATGCGTGGAATAGGCATAAGGCTATCCTAATTATAAGATAAGGCCAGGGACTAATGAAAGTATTTAGAAAATTGGGCAGACTAGATGGGCCAAATGGTTCTTATTGTAACCGCTGGTGGTTCCCTTATTTACTACTATAATGTCTTAAAGCATAGAACTTAGTAGGGCTAACCATACAGATATCTTAGCCATAATTTTATATAGTGTAAGAGATCCTCTATTTAACATATATAAATAATTGAGAATACAATATAAAATAAGGATTGTCTTGGAAGCAATCGTTTTGTCTTTTGGATATTTATTATATAAAAATATAAAATCCATTATAGCAGAGTTTATAAGATTAAATTACATGCTTGCAAATATCATTAATAGGTTAACATACCCTTCTGAACATGTCATCATGTCAGCCTCTCTGTCATTTTAAGATGGAGCAGCGTCTGTCTCCAAGTCTCTCCTCTGTTTCTTAACATTTAAAAGTACACCTATTTATACCTTAGGTGTCGTCATTTTAGAGTTACCATAGTTCATATGTGAAAAAGTACCACTTCTTTTACTTTATTAATTTTAGGACCTCCCTTAACTTGGCAAACATACAAGGTCATAACTAAAGGGTGTATACGTCACGGAAATTTTCCTGACTTAGTTCAAGATGGCATCTTAAAGTCTAAATAGTTTATCTGTTGTTTATACTAAATCGTAAGTGTACAGTCGTGGGAGATTCCCGGATTTGGGGAAGTTCCATTAACTTGGGCTTACCACAGTATATTGTGTACTGCAAGAGTCGTAGTATAGCCTTGAAGCTTGTTTATGCATTATTGTTATTGTAATTCGTCTGGGACAAAATGGCGCAAACATATTATGCACTGAGGTTATTGCTTAAAGAAACAGTTATGAAAAACAATATGTTCCATTTCTAACACCTTGTCAGTTTGCAATATCTCTTAAAGACAAAGTACACAGTTTAAGAAATACAACATTTCATTCTAAAACTTGTAATATTTGCATTTGCCCATAACACCCTCTCCATTAAACTGTGGGCATTGTAGCGCATTTCTTCCTTAAATTAGTAAACCAAAGTTCTCCAACTGTCTTTAGGTTTTTTATGCACCCAGCATCTTTGATCATTGTTGTAACAGTAAAACATCCGTAGTGTGATCTTTGCCTGTAAAGGTGGTTGATTAAAATGAGCAAAGCTTTTGTCTGGGAAAGAATTGAAAAGAACACCAAGTTCCAGAGTAAGATATTCTTGGATGGATCCGGATACGAATTGTAATCCAAAGTTAAAAGTAGTAATTGTATTTGTAATCCAAAGTCTTTAAAGGCCTGTAGAAGTTTACATTCCTTAGATACATTGCTGGAGGTTGTGTTTGTAGAATACCCGGGTATTTGTTGTATAGTATAGGTTGTAGAGTCCAGCTTTCCAAGTATTTGGCTAGAATTGGTCGCAGATATTGAATCAGCATCATCTGTTATCACTGTGGTGATGGTGTTGGTATTTGTCTTTGTCTTTTTTTATTTTGTTTTTTCCATGAAACATTTTTACACCGTTTATGATGTGTTTAGATTGGATACTCTCCGATATTCTTTTACGGAATCAATTAATTGACAGCATTTCCAAGACATTGTCTTAAGTGACATGGATCCCATTATAGTAAGTGTTATGTTGATACAGCAATCGAAGTGGATTCTCAAGAACGCCTCTTTTTGCTGTACTGGAATCTTTGTAACATCTCAGTGATAGACATCTCACTGACATCAGGTGCTGTTGTGCTAAAAATGTTCACAGGTAAAATCTGTGGAAAAATCTTTACATTTGTTATTGTTTGTATAAAAATGATAGATGAAATAGTAACATAGTTAATCTTTCTAGTGTTTTGTATTAGAGATAAACACCCTTGTATATGATTTAGAGATATAGGCATAATTTGAAGCAGCAAAGTATTTACCATCTTTGTTCACAATGGTATGTAAAATTACATTCTCTTTAAATGTTAAAAATACTCCTTTATTCAAAATCTCTCAATCTATTTAGAATAGTTGCTAATTGGAAATATGACGTTAATTATCTTTCTTTGACCTGTTAGGGAGAAGACAACTTATTCCCTAGTTATTATTAGTAAATATAATAACTACAGTTATTAGTGGCTTAAAATACCAGAAACCCCCAAATATTGTCTTAGAAAACATTTTTTTTTTTTTTTTTAAACCAAGATCTGACAGCCATTGTGGAAAGTTACATTCGTGAGATTGGATGCTTAACAATGTGAATCTTAATTGTTTAAGTATATTTTTCAGTGGCTGTTGGATGTAGCTTAAGATGATTAGAATGTATTATTATTTCTAAAGGTGAGTTAAGAAATCACTCAGATACAATATTGAAGGTATTTATATTTTAACTCTACCTTTGTATAGGTGGTTTTATGTACCTTTAACCATTACAAACCAAATAACATTTTCTTTGTATTTGAAAAACTGATAAAAAATATTTGATTACGTGTATTTTAATATATATACATAGAGTGGTATGGATGTTGAATTTATATCTTTGACATCTTTTCACCAGTTTGCAATAGGTGACCTAAATGATCAATTTCCAAATTCATCATGTATATCACCTGGACGGGTTAATCCATAATACTCTTTTACTTTCCATTGACTGGCCTTAGCTCTGGCAGACTGAATATTTTTATCATTATAAATAAACTTTATGATAGTTGAAGTAAAGTTTCTGCCTGTCTTAACTGTTTTTAACTGTTGAAGTATTTCACTTATATTAATTATACCACTCTGCAAACTTAAACGAATATAGAATAGTTTCTGATTTAATAAAAACATTTCACATTTTCTTTTAAGGTTAAACCTTATTCATTATTGCAGTTGTTATTGCAATCATATGATCTTTAACTATCATGATTCAATTATTCATCTGGGTAATTAGCTGTTATGCTCTTATACGTAAGTTTAATATATTTGTTTGTAGGCCAGACTGCAGCTGCATATGGCATTTTAGCAATAATCTTCAATTGCGTTTCAGATATTCACAAAGTCTATCCACCTTTGTAATTAACACATCATGTGTTTCTTATACCATTAATTATAGTATCTTTATTATATTACACATTGTCACTGACACATTTCTGATACAGGGAAAAAAAAAATGCATGATTGCTTTAGTAATTATAATTATCTGTGCATGCACCACATTCCTGGAAGTCCAGAATATAGCAAGAATGCTTTGTCGTTTGATTCTATGGAGCCATTTAACGTTTTGATTGGTATAGTTATACCAAAAGAGCAAGGAGTACAACGGTAGATCACATCTGCAACAGAACCATTACAGATTACTTGTATCGATGTCTCTGTGTTTATGTTTACAGGAGTTCCTTGCTTTGCAGGTATGTACATCGTGCTTTAGTACAAGTGTCCCGTGATGTCAGGTCTCTGAAAGATTCTGCTGGCCTTTTATATTCCATTGTCTTTGTAGGGCATCTGCTCTTAGTAGGCCGGTATTGTTATAATTTATTAATTGCATCAAGGTTTCTTTAGTTAATTGATGTGTTTCTACCAAATTCAAATTCATATGCCACCAAATGTCACTGTAAAGTTCATTGTTGCAGAATATTGTTCCAGGATGGTTTTTCTCTCCAGTAGGAAATCTATATTCCTCTTCTTCTGATCCTTCCTATTAACCACTTTTTCTGAGTTGTAGTTAACAATCTGTGTCTTGTACTGTGAGGTGCTTTGATAGTCAATCTGGTTTTGTCAGTACCATGTTCCATCTTGAAAAACATTCATAGGTGCATCCAAAGTCTTTCACAATCATCTGTCCCATCTTTTTCTGTTCTCAGCATGCTTTGCCATCATCGTTGATTCCATTATTAGGATTTGTAATAGTCCAATCACATCTTTCTCATGTATAATCGTTTTTTGGAATGATCTTAATAGGTTCCTTGTGAAATACCAGTGTAGGCAATCATTTCACTGTGAGCTGTGTCTCTCCTTTTGAAATGGTTCTTGGAGGTAGTCCTCACGATCACAGAACTTGTATAGTGTGCAGTCCAATTCAGTTCAGTTGCTTCCTGCTTGTTAACAAAATTCCAATGCAGTTTTAAAACGACAGCTAGGGTTGATGTTATGATAATGCTGCAGATTGTAAGAAGGAGACACCATAACCAATTTTCTAGCATCCTTTTTCTTCCATCTTTGCATTTCTTTCTTACTGTATAAGATAATTCAGGTTTCTGTCTGTTTTCTCCAGAGTCTTTCTTATAATGATGTTGATGATTCATTTTTCATACATTCCATGTTAACTGTGAATGTATCACGTCTGTCTGTTCGTCCTTCTCCTTCACATTTGCAGGTTCAGATGTCAGATCATGATTCAGTCTGTTACGTGGCTATGATTCTGGTGGCATTTCTGTCGTCTTCTGTTTGTTTTATCTTGTCATCTTTAACAGCATCCATTGTATCAGTCAGTGGTTCTGTGAATGTCCTGTTAATATTTAGCAGGTTGTAAAATATCAAAACTTACTGTTCTCTGTTGGCTCTGATTGTTCTCTGTAGTAAAAGTTATCTGAGTCACCCTCTCCAGGACAAGCTGGCCAACAGAAGGAAATAGGTGGTGGTGCAAGGCGAGGTGGGCTGGAAAAAAAAATTCCCTAAATTTCTCTAATAGAACCAATGGTTCTAAGCTCTCCCTGGTGCAGAAATATGTTGTCAGTGAAAAAACATGTAACATTTCATATGGTGTCTCACCATTTGTATCATCAGGTATGTTGTGAATTCTTATCTGTACCATAGGAATAAATAGATACCACTGTGTGGGGCAAGCAACTAGTAACTTGGTTAATAATCATTTAACCTCAGCATTTTCCCAGACCACAACCCCACTTCTTTGGGGGTGGTTGGGGCACTGAAATCCCAAAGTAACCCAAATGTGGTTGCCCAGTTTAAGGTTTCCTTTGCAGTAACTGCAGGACCACCATCCAAATGGATGGTCCTGGGATTATCAAATGCATACTAAGGAAGTGAGACTAGAAAACATGGCATCAGAGGTTGCACTTCGCACAGGATACATCCAAGTAAACCTGGTACATGCATCAACACATACAAAAACATATTTATAACCATGAGATGTTGGCAAACTTTCAATATATAGTAATTCAAAAAGTATGTTGGATATTAATATTTCAATAAACAGTACATCAGTAATGTGGCAATAAGCAAATGCTTATGGTTACTAAACACATGAATTACAGTATTTCCCATATTGTGACCACCAATATTCCTTTTCAGGAGTCAGAAGTACATTACCTCTCTCTATAAGAGCTTGTCCTAGCCATGAAAAAGCTTTTAGGGCAAGTCCATCTTTCCTCTATAGGAAGAACAACCAACATATTACCTTCAATGGTTATTATGTAATTAATCCCTCTAAACGATAGGAGTATTTATGCGGATACCAGGTGGATAAGGTCTGGATATCCTTGCAAGCATAAACTCTGCATCATGACAGAGAGATAGGGTATGCGATGTGATCCAGTGACCACAGAAAAGCGTTGGTAGACACATTGCATCAAAGTGCCTGTTACAGACCAACTACACGAGGAGAGGGCCCATGCTTTGTTATAAGCATGTCCATACACGTATTACAATGCCAGGCTTTCAATTTGTTATCACAAAGCAAAATGCAGTTGTGGATATAAACTCACGACGTATCGTAAGAAAAACAGTTTGAACACCAGACTGAGACTCGAGATCAGTGAACAGTGGACCAAAATAGATAAATTAAATCTTATCAATTAATATACTTTATTTAAATTACTTTATTCTCTGTATTAACTATGAAATATTAAAGTTAAAACAATAACATTTAAAAGCCAACTTTTAGTGTGCATAGGAATTACAAGGCTGTTCATAATGTGAGATAAAGAACAGCTTTTTTAAAATCCGAATAGTCTGTGAACACAAAATGACCTTGCGGTGAAAACTCACTTGCAGGGGAAAAACAAAACCTTCTTTTTTCTTTTTTGTCTTTAGTAAGTTAATTAATTAATTAAACGTAGTTAGAACCTCCCTCAAAGTCCCGATGACTTTGCAAGAAACATGTCATCCTTAAATACTGGGTAAGTCTATTAAACAGTGAAATAGCATTTTTACACTGTATATCATGTTATCACAGCTATAATGTGCAGTATAATAAACTATTTATAAGTGTTGTGCAAACTGTTCATTAAAAGCCAGTGGTCTAGCGAGCTATAGAACATTTATTCTTTAAATCTCTGACCTCAATCGGCAAAGCAATATTGTAATGGTGTCCATTGCAATCTGCTGTCTTACTTGCTACTCTTAAAAATTCTGAATATGTTCGGGGATTTCTTGGGCAATAATAAATCCCCCAAAACAACAACTTTGCATTTATGCTAAACCTGCCTGTTGTAAACGTATTCTGTATATTTCTTGACATAAGTACTTGTACTTAAATCTGTTTAACAAAGCTGTTTATATTGTGGTGTAAAATAAATTTTTTATTATTATTATTATTTATTTTATTTATTTATTTTTTTAACATAATTTTTAGCTTAATTTTTTAAAGATACCTGCATATTTAATTAAATATCCTTTATATGTCTTTAAGGCATAAAATGTCTGCAAATTAAGATTATATACAAAAATGCATGTTCTGGGTGTTCCCGTGATTCCTTTTCTATCATTTATTTATTTAAAAAAACATTTTAAGCCTGGAATCTGATTTCTTTTGGGATGAGCACCCCTCTGAGCCCCCCAATTTCAGAGGCTTCTTTGGAGGTGACCACAAAAAAGTATAGATTCTATAAAATAGATGTGAGGGGGCTTTGGACAGTAATGTCACCTTAATTTATACTTTTCATATAGAAGATATGTGATATGCAATGTGATTTAATATATCAGAGTATCATCACTTTAATTGACACTGCATTTTTTTATGCATTCTTTATGCATTTTTTTTTGGCATTATTATTTTTCTTTTTTTCTTAAATTTTAATGTCTGTTTAGAATATTGCAGGCTTTGCAATATCAAATTAATTTTGCAGTATATATATTCACAATGCTATTACAACATATTATTAAAATTAGCCTCTTTCAGAATTGTAGAATATGTGGTGGAACTGAATCCCCATATATGAGATTTGAAACTGTATTTTTGATTTCTACGCTGTGCCCTGATCAGTATTTATATACATAATTGCAGCAGCATATAGCTTTTAAAGAAGCAATTATTTCACCCTTCATGTGTGGTTGACTGTGGACTTTTTAAAACCTACTTTTTATTTTTTTTATAAATCTGTTTCTGGCTTTGAGAGAGCAGGCTGATGAATGCATGTAAATGCTCTTAATGCTTAATCTCTATACATTTATTTATTTAATTGTATTTTATAAAAACCTAGTTTATGAAATTCACTGAGATTACATGTGTCTGATCTGATTACAGTCAGTAGTACAATATAATTGTTCTAATTTCTTTACTGCTAGTACGGTGGAATAGTACCACTGATTTAAGTAAGCTTTCCCTTTTAAAATTGGTGGACTTTAATCCTGCCATTGCATTAGACTAAATACTGTACCTGAGTAAGCAAAGTCATTATGTGCAGGAATTGTGCACTTTAAATTGTAGAATACTTATGCTATTCTAGTGAATTGGGCTGGCTGCTTAACACATCATTTAGTATCTTTTGGTCACATTTAAAGCTGTAAATGTATTTAACATTTTATTTAAATAAGCCCTTAATAATTTCAGTTTAAAAGTTATTAGAGATCCTATATAGTTACAATTTTATTTAGCCCTGATTTATCTTACATATATATTATTTTTAATCATTTTCTAAATATTTAATTTTTTTGCTGAGCATTTAGAGAAGCAAAGGATGTATAACCACCTGTTGTCCTTTTTCTAGAAGGGTAGTATAATTTCAACTCTGTTTAGGAAAAAATATAAGCTATTTATCATATATTATATAACATATATGCTGCAGTGTACTGCACTCAATGTATTTAAAATCCATGTCTTTCTCTTTATGGCTGTATGTAATAATGTTGTTCATAATTTGGAATATAAAACAACGACTTCTCAATTCCTTGGAATGTTTACATGTCTCTGTATCTTCGCAACCTTGGATTTTTAATTGTTCAAGATCATCCTGAATCTGTGCCGAGTCTTGTTCCATATGCTTAATTTTTTTCAGAGCTTTGATTTTTAAACTCTTCTGAGAAGCGCTGAATTTCATTTTTGATCTTTGTGAATTGGGTTTTCAGAGCACTATTAAGTAGGTCTACTATTGGGATTCAGTTGCTATTACAGCTTTTTCTGCTAGGTCTACTGTTGGGATTAATTTGTCATTACAGCTTTTTCTTCCCAGTCTTGGTCCACACTCTTCATTGTTTCATCTAAGGGGTTACCTTGGTCCCCTGTTTTCATAGGTTGTGGTGAAGAAAAAGATAAGCGCTTTACCAGGGGCTCATTATTGTTAATCTATTTCTTTTTGGTGTTTCTATTTTCTTGGGTTTTTCTAGTCACCATTTTATAGCGTTAAGCAGAAGATGGGGGAGAAATAAAAAAAAAGACAGGAAAAAAACCAACCAAAGTTTGTACAATTTATGTATGCATTTCTATTTCGGCCTCCTGTACGTCTCCAGTATTTATACAAGCAAAGGGAGCAAATTCCTCTCTCTGCTCTTATCTCCTATTGATATTCAAGCAGAACACTCAAACAGGAGATTTGGGCAGAGTAGTCCGTAAAATCATACAAAAAATTCAGGTAGGTATTCAGACAACTTGTTCATGTGGTTTGTTCATTCGGGGGAATCCTCTCCCTCCTTTCTCTTCTTCTCCCACGTGTCTCCAATTAAGATTCACTTGAATCGGTTGTTTTTTTTTGTTGTTTTTATCTGATTTTCCCTTTTTCCAGGGCTTTTATTTTGCTAGTTAATTCTTAATTTTAATTTCAATCCTTTTACTTCCTTCTTTCCCTTCTTCTTATTTGTCTAGTCTTTCCTTTTAATCTTGTCAGTTAGTTTTTGAGTATTTATATGTATGCTTTATTCTCTATATCTATATTTTTCTCTTACATATACAGATTATTTCAAATTTTTGAAAATTATATGTTTTAGTATACCCATGTGTATTTTGTTTTGTTTAATCAAAGGACACTATGTTGTGATCACTATTTCCCAAGTGCTCACCAACTTGAATGTTGGTCAAAAGCTCAACGTTGTTTGTTAGAACCATGTCCAGACAAGCGTCCTTTCTAGTTGGTGCTTGTACAAGTTGTGACATGAAGGTGTCATTTAACAAGTTCAAAAACCTAATTCCCTTTGCTAAACTGCTAGTCCCTCTGTCCCAGTTTATGTCCAATTAATTAAAATCTCCAAAAATTAATGTTTTACCCAGATTTGCTGCTTTCTCAATTTGCTCAAACAGCTGTTGTTCCTCATTAATATTAACATTAGGTGGTTTATAACATATCCCAACCAATAACTGATTTCTCTTCTTTTGCCAAAAGCAGATATTTACCCATAAAGCTTCAATATTTTCCTCTTCCTTAAGATTTGGCTTTAATGCATGGTTGACATATAAACATACCCCACCATCTTTCCTGTTTTCTCTATCCTTCCTAAATAGTGTGTACCCATTTAGGTTAAATGCCTCTAGTTCCCCCATTTTGTTATTTAGACTCCTTGCATTAGTAAGCATACATTTAATTCTATCATGAGTCACTTGTTCTTTTTGTGAATTTTTACCAACATTCCATTCCACTGAAATGTCCTTGAATATAGTTGAATTAATTAAATAACTATAACATTATGACCCACATTCAACAAACACATAGCTTGGGTTACTTTCCCATTGATGTCAATAGAAGAATTGTTTTTCAGTTACCATAACTGAATAGTTACCATAGCTGAATTACAAAACAATTTCAAAATAATAAAATTAAGGGGAAGTAGAAGTACAAAAACTAGTTAATAAAAAAATAGTATTTATATAATCGTGTAAAATATGATTGCAAAATGTGGAAAAAAAACATTTAATGATATTCAACAAAAGGAACATTAAAATAAAATTTAATTAGTCTGAGCAATGTTTGTCATGTGCATAAGAGGATAAAAAGTGTTTTGCATATCCTTCAGTTATTATGTAAACAATATGTATTGTTTAATTGTTATTATAGATTAAGGTAATTCAAATTTAAAATATGTTTATATTTGTAATTAAAACTTCAGTTTAAATAATTAAATTGTCATAAAACAATCAAGCAAACTGTAAAATATTGCATAATGTAGCACAAAGGTTAGACAGCATGCCTCTAACACCAGTTCAGCAGATGTCTATTATGTTATAGATCAATGTTTTTATAGAATATGTGAGGTCCGTAGGCATGATTTATAACATTATTAGTTGCCCTGAAATGACCAGACCCCCCCCTGACCTCAGCTGCAATACTCAACTTAGAGTTAGAACTCATTTATAAAGAATTGAAGATCCAGGCAGTCAACAATTCCTTTTTTTCCAAAAGTTCATAATGGAAATAACAAATAGGTAGTGACAACATTTTGGTCTGTGATGTCAAGATTCGATAAAGGCCAGCACAGGTCTAAACATTGTCACTATCTGCTTTTTGTTTCCATTAAAAGTCTGCATTTTTGGAAAACAAGGAATTGTTGAGTGCCTTCTCATATACATGATTCTTTGGGATGCATCAGCCCTAAGATCAGGAGAACATACTCCTCTATTATGGGTACAACTAACTTCAACTTACTCGTTGAAGTTAGAGCTCATGAATGGCAGGCAAGGTTATCAAGCATTAGAGTGCCGGACATTCATTGGTAGTACCAATATGGTGCTGCAATGCATGAACACCTAGAGGTATTAGTTCCTCTGGCAACTAACACACATAGTGATGAGAGAGTATCTTCTCATATAAAAGTAAGGAGTGCCATGGATCTATTCACACCCCATTTGAGTACATTAATGTGCAATGTAGCTATGGTGCATAATAAGGATGGGCAACCCAGTTATATTTTAGTTGACTACCACGCCACCTGTGGCTATTGGAGGGTATCAAACTGTCTGAAAAATAAACAGAAACAAACATACATAATAGTATGTTTGAATTACCTTACTGAAAAATCAGAAATTCAATCTACCTACTTCTTATAAAACCATGCAAATGGTGCAAATGACTTCTATCTATCTAGCAGAAATTCAAAAGGTAGACAACACCAACAAACTCTATCAACACCCGACTCAACAGGCAAAGCTTTTACAACTGAGACGCAACTTGACAACACAACTCCACTCTAGACATCACAGGAATATTCTACGACAAAAAGTGTTTTTTTAAATTGCATGGGAATAGGAGAGGAAAACTCTTGGCAAGAATGTGTCATGATTGGGGTAATCCCTACACACAGGGAGTAGGATGTTAGCCAAAGTAGAAGGAAGAACAGGCTATGTATACTGTGCTATAGAGTGGCCTAAAAATGCAAGAATCGTAGTAAAAAAGGATGCCTAGGTCAAGGAATACAGAGGTACACAAGAACAGGAATGCAAGCCAAGGTCAAAGGGATACAGAGAGTCAAAATAGTCAAAATACACAACCAGGTCAGCAACAGGAAAACCAGAAAAATAATAAATGCACCTTCATGCTAACAAGAGCAACAACAGGGCAATGATTCCCAGCAAGGGGGGAACTTAGATAGGTCTAGAAAGAATACTATTGGAAGCCATCATTACCCTGCACCAGGACACAAAAAGGGGTGTGACCTGTGCAAGACGTCCAACAAATATGACATCACTAAAAGGTGAGTGTAAAGTTTAACACCCACAGGTTCCTCTAATTTCAAAGGACACCTGTAAGTGGCGTGAAGTTGCAATGGAAATGTAGCAATATTGAAAATAGTGCAGAGCTGTCTGCAGTTCCATGGAGAGCACTGCAGCTGGAGGTATCCAGAAACGTGGCGTTCACCCCAGTGAGAGCAGTGTGAGACTGAGATCTTTGTGACTGCCGTGTGGCTCCCAGAGGTTTGACAGAATGCTAGCTAAACGCCAACAAACCACATACATAGATAAAATCTGTGACAAAACAGGGATATTACACCACTTACCAACCAAAATCCAAGAGGCGATACGAACATATTGCTCAGATCTCTACTTCCTCAACCTCAGACAGCTGTGACACAAAATCGCCTACGAGACACGATACAATCCTACTTAACGACACACACCTCAACATCCTCTGACAAGGCTGACTCACTAGACGAACCCATCACCCCAGCGAAGTTGGCACAGGCTATGAAGACTTTGAAACCAGGCAAGAGGGCAAGGTCCAGACGCCCTGCCGCTGCATTACAATAAGTGCTTCGCTGACATCCTCTACACCCCTATGTTCAGCCACCTGTGTGTGTGTATTCAGCAGTCTGTGTGTGTGTGTTTATTTAGCAGTCTGTGTATTCAGCAGTCTGTGTGTGTATGTATTCAGCAGTCTGTGTGCATGTATTTAGCAGTCATGGGGTGGGCAGCAGAAACACATGGAATGGAGAAGAAGATAATGACAAAGTGAGAGGCTGGGGAAAGGGAAAATGGGCTGGGAAGGGGATAGGAACACACAGATGGACTGGTGTAGAGGATAATGACACACAGAGGAGCAGTGGATGGGGGCAGTGACACACAGAGAAGCTGGGGAAGAGGGGCAGGGAAAGGGACAATGACAAACTGAGGGGCTGGGAAAGGGACAGGTACACAGAGGGGCTGTCATTACTATGGATAATTATAACCA